TATTGGACTTTGAAAAAAAAATCAGGATGAAAAGAATGTGGATGGTTTTGAATTTTGGTGTTGAAAAAAGCCTCTGAGAATTTCATGGATAGCCATGGAAACAAATTAAATGGAGCATGCAGCTAATCTGCTTTTTGAGTCACAAATGACCAGGTTCGAATTATCATATTTTGGACTTATTATGTGAAGTCCCAGCTCCTTTGAGAAGCTATGATGCTGGGAGGTTGATGAGCAGCATAATGGATGAACTTGATTACAATGGGGTACCATTAAAAAAATAACTGAAGGGACATATTTAGGACAGAGCATCTTATCAAATGTATATGTGGATCTAAGAATCAACACTGACTTGATGGCACATTATAAATCGAACAATATTAATTAGGTCTGTGGGAAATTGTATTAAGGAAATAACTTTGATAATTAATCTTTACCTCAGGTTTCTTTCCCATTTTTTAGTTAAGATAGAAGGAAAAAAGAATCAGTTGGGAATAATGTATCACAGGTCCAACTTTTTTATTCCTAGTCTCCTGGAATTAAAATATGCTTTTCTTACAATTTTGTTCTAACATGACAACATCAATTATCTCTGTCACGCTCAAACCATCCGCTTTACTCAATATGCAATTAAGCATTTTTACTGCTTCTGACATGGCTAGTGTTATGAAATTTTGAACTCTGCAGGCAAGAAAATATATAGTATTCAAAAATTAAAATAAACTATTCAATTAAAAAGATATGTACAAAACATTGCAGAAAAATATCTACATCTCCTAAATCACTCTAACTATAAAATAATATTCTAAGCAAAAGGTTGTTCTTACCCAGGCATCAGAATATTTTTTCTGGGTTTTTTTCTTGCTCTTTCTTTCTTGTAATAAGAAAGCAAATATCCAAGTACATTTGGATTCTACATAGTTGCCAGGATTAAGCAATTACAAGAGCTGAAACTATAGTCTTCTCAAAAGTATCCACTTTTTAAATTCCCTGCCCCAGAAATATTGAGGCACAATTAAATCAAGACATTCCTACTTAAGTACAGAAATTGCCGCAAATCCAGAATCCAGCTGGCAGGGTCACAAATAATGATCACACGACCCCAGAACAACATTGTAAATATATACTAGTTACCAAGAACCCAAATTTTGATCATGTGACCACAAAGGTGGCGTGAATTTGTACATTAAATGTAAGGATCAGTCATAAGTCAGTTTTTTCAGTACCATTGTAACAGTGAACAGTTGCTAAATAAATGGTTACAATTTGAAAACTATTATTATTTTGGAACATATACTAGTAACCCATAATGGTGTACTGATTAAGTGTTGGACTAGGACTGCGTCATTCAGCTAGAGAAGCTGAATGGGCGATTGAGATCAATACTTTTAGTTCAACCTCCTAAACTCTCAATACATAGTTTGTAATGGGGATAAAATTAGAAGAGAGGATTTCATGCACACTGCTTTGAACTTCTTAAAGAGATACAGTAGTGGCCAAAATTGTGGAAACCTTTTGGTAAAAGTGTACATTTGAGGTTTGATGGCTAATAACACCACTTTTTTTGGAGTAGTACCATAAAATTATATATCAATGGAAGATGATTTAATCAAGAATGTAATGCAATAACTTTTATGAAGGATTTGCTATTAGAATAGCAGTTATAAAGAAGAAAAGTGAAACACATAGAAAAAATGAGATATACAAAAATTATCACCATAGAAAAAATGAGATATACAAAAATTATAACCATGTCAGTTAATACTTAGTTGGGAAACCTTTAGCATGAATTACGGCCTTACAACATCTTCCCATGGAGTAAACCAAGTCCTTTAGTTCTGCAGTTGTTATAATGTGAAACTAAAATTGAATGATTGCTTCTATTAACTGGGTTTTATTGCTGGGTCACTTCTGACTAACAAGTTTTTTTAGTTGGCTCCATAGATTTTCAATTGGGTTAAGGTCTGGGCTATTCCCAGGCCATTCCAGCAATGATTATCTTGAAACCACTTTTTGCACACAGCAGCAACATGACATGGAGTTAAACCCTATTGAAATATAAATGCTTCACTGTCTTGGAAAAGATCATGTGCAGAAGGCTTCAGTTTGGGCTTAAGTATTTCATTAATGTATTTTTGGCAATTTATATTCCCATTAATCACACAAATTCTGCCCACACCTTTTGATGTCATACAACCCCAGATCATAACACTGACTGGGTGTTTCATGCACATGTAATGCAATCAGGATGCAAATCTTCTTACATATTTTATGCCATCACTACAAACAGGGAGATCTTGGTCTCATCACTCCAAATAACACTGTCCCGTTGTTCCTCTATCCAGGTAACATGGGTTTTAGCTAAGTTTAGTTTTTTCAACCTTTGTTTGAGAGATAAAAGTGGCTTTTTTTAATGGAATTCTAGATTTTAGGCCAAATTCCTGCAGTCTGCACCAAATAGTCCTTGCACTCAACTTCACATTGCACTGTGCCATTTCATCTTGTATACACCCAGATGATTTTCTTCTGTCACGTAGGCACAGTCTCTTAATTCTTCTATCATCACTTGCTGTTGTGCACCTTTTCTCCTGCCTTTATCAGTATAGTTTAGTAGTGACTGAGTCTCCTTATATTTCTTCAAAAACTTAGAAATACCATCTTTGGTTAAGTTTCCACCAATGTTTCTTCTAATTTTTTTTTTATAAAAGTAGTCTTGTTCACTTAATAATACTATTTTACATCGCTTTCTGGGCGACCAGTCAACTCTTTGCACCATTAATTTTATTATGTTTTACAAGCTCACCAAATGAAAGAACACAAAGAAACCCAACCAATTTGATAACAATCACATAACACACTGACAAATGTCCTTCTCTAAGCTTCAATACATGACATCAATAACTGAATCCTACTGTGATCTTAATTGGCTCATTGCCAAAACAAGATGACAGCTGATTGGCTCTCTAAACACTCATGCTCATTAGCTACAATCAGATGAAGGAAAGCTACCTGATATCAACCTAAGCAAGTTGTGCTTCCTTTTTCTGATTATTTGGCTATAACATTTCATAAAATACAGATAATTGAACAAACTTTGTTGCATTGCATTCTTGATTAAATTATCTTTCCATTGATATATAATTTTATGATACTACTCCAAAGAAAGTGGTATTATTAGTCGTCAAACCTCAAATGTACACTTTTCCCAAAAGGTTTCCACAATTTTAGCCATTACTGTGTATCATAGATAGATAGATAGATAGATAGATAGATAGATAGATAGATAGATAGATAGATAGATAGATAGACAGATAACCTTTATTGTCATTTTTTACTGTGGGCACAATGGTACACATTAAAAATGAAATTTAGTTGCTTGCTCTCAAAGTGTACACATATATAAAGCTAACAAATTATAAAATCGTATCATAAATAAATTATATTCCCATTGTGGCTCTTACTACTATTTGTAACAAATTTTTCCTGATGCCAGAGCCAAACCTTCATTATCCTAATCCCCAAAGTATTCCATTACTAATAAGAAACAATGTGTTGGAGTCAGATCCATTTAATACACTGTCTTAAATCAGGGGTGGGGAACTATGGCTCTTTTATGACTTGTGAACTTCAACTCCCAGAATTCCTGAGCCAGCCAGGGATTCTGGGAGTTGAAGTCCACAAGTCATAAAAGAGCCATAGTTTCCCACCCCTGATTTAAGAAAAGAGTTGTGAAAGATTAAAGTCTTTGTTTACTATGGTTACACTTCCCTTTTCAAGAAAATAACAGTGTTGTGAGGTTTTAAGGAAAACATCCAGAAGTCAATTCTACTTCAGAAGTGGGGCCTGGAAGAATTGAAGAGTTCAATCTTTTTCAGACAAATGTTCGAAGTTTGTACATTTCCAATTCAGCTTAATCTCTCAATCAACTATTAAAACTCATATTTTGTCAATCCTCCCAAGTAAACCAGATAGGAAACATGACTAAATGACCCAATTTTACTTTATTTTAAGCTTCAATTTTGCATGCCTGAAGGCACAAATTTCCTGCCTCCACTTTTAACTGCTTGATCAATTAGGGTGGATACTTCATAATTTTTTTTCTTCGACCATTAAACCAGTGTTTTTTGTTTGTTTGTTTGTTTCCTAGACACATCTCTTCCCTTCGTCCCCAAGGTCATACACACATTCTGTTTCATATTTTAAAACCACTGCCCTTGAATATTAGTTTTACGATGGATTCATACATTGTTCACTCATACTTCATTTAATCATGATTTACAGAATTAACCACTACTGATTCATTTTATAAATCAAGTGGCCATGTTCATACAATACACTAAGGCTAGGCAATACAGCAAGACTAAGCAAACTATATAATGGTTTAGTGTGAAGATAATTTAAATATCATGGTTGGAAACTCCAGCCCATTTTTGCCATCACAGAGGGGAAAACTTACCTTAATATCGAGGTGGTTCATATAAGAAAATTAGTTCTTGAGTTTTGACTTATTTTGTAATTACTGGGAAAGAATTTCCATGCATTATTATAATTTGACAGAGTATCTAAGCCTGACCCTCGGAGAAACTCATTTTTCAACCTATCTTATAGAGAATAATGCTGGGCAAGTCTTCATTTTAGGAACAGCAAAGTAAGGGAATTTATGTATTTGCTTGTTTGTTTATTTAAAGGACTTATGTGGCATCCTATTTCACAGTGATCTTAGATAGTTCAAAACAAGAATTAATGAAGCTATCTGATTAAACTTTGATGATGTGAAACACTGAGCTTCACAATAAATCATCTTAGCACTAGCTTAAATTAAATTTTATAATCTCTGCTTCATTGACATATTTAATTTTCCAAAGAAGAACTAATGGGAAAACTTGATATGCCATAAATGTTTAGTGCAATTATTTAAAATGTTACATCAGAAGATAGAAATGTTTTAATTGACAATGTACAAAATAGAATCTAACAGGATCTGCTTTTTTCAATTTCTGTAGAGCCAAGAAAGACGTATTTCTCCAGAAAAGACCTGCAATGGATAAAAAAAGCAGTGGTTATTTCTTATTGATTATTCTACTAATTGTAAGTATTAAAAAAAGCCTAATAACATTTATCTGAAAACCATTCAGGCCAAAGTTTGCATGTTTTTAAGCACAGACACCATATTAATCAGGGGTAAACAACTTTAAACCCACTGTTTTGTTCCAAGCACACTTGGTCTAATTAATGTACCTCAATGCACTGTAGCTGTTACTGAGATATCATAATTTGTTTACCTATTTGATTTACATCAAATCAGATCAAATACTTGATTCAATTCTTGTCAACCTAACATTATTATTTTCAGCTGAAACTAAAAAACTACATGGAGGGAAGTGTGTAGTGGGGTGCCCCAGGGCTCTATTCTGGGCCCATGCTCTTTAACATCTTCATCAATGATTTGGGTGAGGAGATTGATAGGGAACTCATCAAATTTGCAGATGACACCAAGCTGGCAGGAATAGCCAATACTCCAGAATACAGGCTTAAGATACAGAAGGATCTGGACAGACTTGAACATTGGGCGCTATCTAACAAAATGAAATTCAATGGCGAAAAAAGTAAGGTTCTACATTTAGGCAAGAAAAACCAAATGCACAGGTACAGTATAGGTAGTACCCTGCTCAATAGTAAATGAGGGATCTTTGAGTCCTAATGGACAATCACTTAAATATGAGCCAGCAGTGTGCTGTAGCTGCCAAAAAAACCAACACAGTACTAGGCTGCATTAACAGAGAGATAGAATTAAGATCACATGAAGTGTTAATACCACTTTAGAAGCTTTCGTAAAACCACACTTTGAATTCTGCATCCAGTAAAAAAGATGTTGAGGCTCTAGAAAGAGTAGAGAGAAGAGCAACAAAGATGATTAGGGAACTGGAGGCTAAAACATATCAAAAATGATTGCTGGAATTTTAATGAAGAGAAGGACTAAGGGTAACCCTGAGATAGCAGTGTTCCAATATCTCAGGGGTTGCCACAAAGAAAAGCGAGTCAGGTTAGTCTCCAAAGCACTTGAAGGCAGGACAAGAAGCAATGGGTGGAAACTAATCAAAGAGAAAAGCAACCTAGAACTAAGAAAAATGTCCTGACAGTTAAAACAATTAAGCAGTGGAACAACCTGCCTCCAGAAGTTGTGAGTACTTCTACACTGGAAGTTTTTAAGAAGAAACTGGATAACCATTTGCCCGAAATGGTATAGATTTCCTGCCTGAAAAGGGATTTGGACTAAAAGACCTCCAAGATTCTTCCAACAATTACTACTACTACTACTACTACTACTACTACTACTACTACTACTACTACTTATTATTATTATTATTATTATTATTATTATTATTATTATTATTATTATTATAATTGAATTAGTACTATTAAGTATAATTGATTTCATGTAAAATAATTGCCCAATTAATTAATTCCCCTTTCCAAACTTTCCAAAATCAGTATTCCAATTTCCCCTTTGCTATTTATTTGAAAATATTTTTTTTCATTTGAAGTCTTTAAGTTTGCATCAAACTTTTTTCATTAAGTATAGAAGGAAACTCACTCATTGTAAAGAAACTTGCCCTTCTGAAGTTCCTTAATAATGCAAAAGCCATTAATAAATAATTTGTGAACGTGATTAAAGAAGAAAATATATGAATCCAGTGTTCATTTGAAGGACCCGAAATGCCTTAGACAAGATGACTTTTCCTTGGTTCCCATAGTTCTAAAAGCCACCAGAGATTGCTGTCTTATTGACTCTTCAAGGAGAGTCTTTATACAGAGTTCTTGTGAGCAATCCTGATTTTCTGCTTGCTTTGGAGAGGATTCAGAGAGGAATTTCAAGGAGCCAGTCCATTCACTGACTTCTCTTTCTGCCATGGCTGTCAGTTCCACTCTCCACAGAGCTATCTTCAATCCACCATTTCTTCTCAGAAGTCCCTAATGACTCCAATTTGTTATAGCTACAGAAGGATCAATTTGACTTAGAAGAAAGTAGGCACATACAGGGGATCAAAAAAGTGAAAATGGCACTCCAATTTGTGCACTCCAAGCCCCATCTCTTTGATGATCTTTGATTTCACAAGTTGCAGTTATTGCAAGAACAATGCTTTTTTCTGTTTAAAATATTGTCTTGTTTGTTCTTTGATATATTGTGAAATAAATATAATATGAAGCAGCTGGCATCAAAAATTGGCAAATATTTCTTCATCCTCAGTTTAATGGGCTCAAATTTACAGTTTTGTTGTTTGGGTCAAATAATAGTTCCTCAAATATTATTCTGCACCCAGTTCTGTCCAAATTTCTCTACAACATGACAAATTGCTTCTGAAACTTCTGAAGTCACAAAGAGACTTCCCTATATAACATTGTTAATTCTCATTGACTGTCAGATCCACCATGGCAGGTGTCCTGCCATTCTGTTGGAGGGTTTCTGGCATTCTTTGCATGCTTTTGCTTATTGTAATTGCTTGGGAATTAGGGAGGGGGTTTGTCTTCAGAGAAAAAACAGACTCTTTCCCAGTCAGTTCAAGCCTGTTCCAAGGCCATTGTGCTCTGAGAATGACCTGTTATCTACCCAGCACCTCAGTGTTCTCATAACATCTCTATGGCATCATATTGACTGCCAGTGGATTGGTCAGAGGGGGTTGGGTTTTGGGAAAACGAAAGAATTGCATTGAGCTTTGAGTGGGACCTCCAGATTCCGCCTGACTTTTCTGCATCCACTATCTCTCAGTAAAAGTTATTTTGATTAACAGTAATGGAATCAAGAGTTTTGCTTTTCTGAGGGATCAGCTGGGGCAGATTGTTACCTTAGACCAGGGTGTCAAACTGCTGGCCCCCAGGCCGGATGCATCATCTGGAAGCCACGCCCACCACATTGCTGGCAATGGCAAAACCGTCCCAATATGTTGTGTGATGTCACCTGACATTGTGAGTTTGACGTGTCTGCCTTAGACAGATAAATAAATAGTTATATACAAATTTACACACACATACACATACAGATAAAGGTAAAGTTTTCCTCTGTCCAGTTGTGTCTGAGACTAGGGAGCAGTGCTCATCTTTGTTTCTTAGCTAAGGGAGCCTGTGTTATCCAAAACATTTCCATGGTGATGTGGCCAGCATGACTATATGCTGAGGCACATGGAACATGTTAAGTTCCCACCAGAGCGGTACCTATTTATCCACTCGCATTTGCATAGGTGGGCAGGAGCTGGGGCAAGTAATAGGAGCTCACCCCATCGTGCAACCCTCAGGTCTCAGACCTGGGTTCTTGACTTTTCAGTAGGAAAGCCCAGCATCTTTAACCACTGAGCCACTGCACGTTGACACACAGAGATAGCCCTTGATGAATGATTACAGTTGGGATTGTTTGCTAATCAACTCCATCATTAAGTAAGCTATCACATGATTGTGAGTTGTGACTTTACTGCTGGCTTCTCCTTTGACTTTTCTTGTTGGAAGCCAGCTATGAATCACTCAAATGAGAGTCACATAAATGCATAAAAATCCACTGGTTGCGAAATGCCTTGATCTCAATCACATGACCACTGAGATGCTATGATATTCAAAGATGATAGGACCAATTTGGGTTAGTGAATGATCACTAAACAAGGCAGTCTTTAAGCTAGGGTTATAAATAGATATAGCTAGATCAGTGGTTCTCAACCTGTGGGTCGAGATCCCATTTGGGGTTGAACGACCATTTCAAGGGGGTTGCCAAACAACGCAGTCCGCCATTTTTTTCCCCTTTTCCTTAGCTGTGCTACTCCCTTTTATTCTATTGGCTTTTGAAAGCCAATAGAATAGACTCTCTTGAATAGAGTCTAATTCTATTGGCTTTCAAAAGCCAATAGGAATTGTCCAGGCTGTCTCTGCCCTGCTGAGCCCGCCAAAAGTCCCATTCTACAAACGGTGCTGCAAGTTGTCTGCAGCGAAGGCGAGCTGTCTGGAAGTTTCCACCCCTCCCTGCTGAGCAACTACTAAAAATGTAAGTAAAAGAGGGCCAGGGGTGGGAGGTGGGAGGCCGGTGGGTGCAGGGAGGGTTGCTGGCGTGCACGGGGCCCGACGGGTGCCTTACCTCCCTTGGGCTGGGCCAGCTGATGGCCCAGCCGGTGGTCGGCCTGCACCATCTCTGCCGCTTGCCAGCTACACCTCAGCCGGTGTAAGGGGTGGCACCATGCATGCGCGGCGCTCCTGGGCAGGGAAAGTCCTCGACTTATGACTGGTTGGGTAGTCCTCGACTTACGACCAGTTGGGTAGTCCTCAACTTATGACCAGTTGGGGTCGTGGCATTAAAAAGGTTGAGAACCACTGAGCTGGATAGATGATTGATAGACCGATAGACAAATAGTATTAAGATCCAGGTTGTCAAGGCAAAGTAGGCCTCCAGAGAGTCCTTTATTGCTTTAAGTAAATGTTCCAATAAACGACCCACCCAGTAAGGTTCCACCCCATGCTATCCTGAAGACAGCTACCCTCTGTCCCTTAAATAAGAGCCCATATATAACAGAGAAAGTCCACAGAGTAGGAGCACGCTCACAACTTGGGTCCCAAGTCCAGTCCCCCTGGCAAAGTGTGATCCACAAGGCAAAGGCAAGGCACAAGACAAAAGGCAGTCCTCAAGGCAAAGATGAGGAACAAAGCAAAATGCAGTCTGCAAGGCAAAAGGCAAAAGGGAAGAGACTAGAGTCAAAATCTGGAGAGTGTAAACCAAAATAAACAATTGTTTCTGGTAACAATTAACTCCCCACAACTTCTCCTTAAATCAAACCACTCTAGGTCCTCCTTGTGGGGAGGGGAGGGTGGCCTTCTCCCGAGTAGTCTCTCAGCCCTTCTCTGAGCTTGCCTACACTCCATTCTCTGGGCCCTTGGATCGAGTGGGGGAGGCAGCTATTCCTCATCAGAGGGGATCTACTGCCTATTAGCGCTCTGCTGTCAGCAGCCAATCCTCCCCTGTGTCTGTAATGGCAGAGAGCTCTCCATCTGGTCAATCACCTCCACCAATGTCTGAGGGGCCTGGGCAGCATTGTCCTCAGCCCCTGGCCTCTCCA